TTTAGCATTTTCTATTTCTTTAGATTGCTTTTTAAAAGAATTTTGCCTAGCAGAATGGGATCTTAAGGTAATGTGCTTTGATTCTTCTATGTGAGTTTGATGATTACTTCCACTGTTAACAGATTCAGGAGAGTAAATGATTGTATTTAACTTAAAAGTATTTCTGTGTTCAAGATAGTTGATCTTCCTCAAAAATATTCTACAATCTTTTAAGGTTTTTGACCTCCAATTATTTGGACATACATTTCCTAGTCTTGGGCCCTTTTCAAAATCTTTTTGGCTGCAGTTTGTTCCATTCTCCTTTGCCTCTGACTTAAATTTATTCTCTAAACTACCATGTGTTTTGAAGTCAGACATTGCCACCCCCTGTTGCAAAAAGTCATCCCTGACCTTAGGTGGCAAAATAAACTGATTATCTACTGTGTTTTTTCCTTGGCGTGGGATGTCAGCATTTGTTCCTCCCTCAGTCTTACTCAAAAATTGGTTCTGACAAAAAAATCTTAAGTTCCTCCTTTTAGAGATCCAAGCACCTGTTCCATGGCTGTGCAGCTTTCCCTCTCTTCTCCACCTTTCATGCCGCAACCTCTTAAACTCAGTTCTTTTTAACCTAGCTAGTGTTAAATTACTTTTCACATTTAAGAGTGGAGAGCTAACCATTTTATGCAGTATATGCAACTTCCCTGCTGATTTTGAAGAAGATAGTGCAAATTTTTTAAAGTGCTTTCTGAAGGGGCTGGTATTAAAATCAGAATATTTGGTCCCTAATTTAATTCCTCTGGTATTTATTACTTCCAAAGGGTTTCGTGCATTTGCTTTTCTAACTAGTGAAAGAGACTGCGTTTCTGTTGTTTGCATAAACCAGGTACAGAGTTCATTCAAATCATACTTTTTCCGAAAAAGCATTTTTACAGGTGAAACTTCAAGTTCTAAAAAACAGGTGTCCAAAGGGCTTGCTATTCTGAAGTTATCATTTTCAATGTGTTCTCTTTTTTTATGAACACAATTTTCAGCTTCATCTCCACTCACGGGCACCCAAGCATTTGTTATTTGCTCAAATCTATTGTTTAATTCCTCTAATAAGGAATCGTTTGAAGTAGAAGCAGCCCACCACCTGAGCAAAGGGTTTGATGAAATTATAGGGTCCAAGGATACTTCAGAAATGGGTATTAACTTATCTTCCAAATGCTTTTTTGCATTCCTTGAATTTCTAGCTCCTGGTGTACATTTGGAAGCTATTTTAATCCTTGACTGCTTATGTTTGTCCTTCTGACTTTTACCTTTCTGCAAATGGAGTTTACACGATTTATGGAGCAGAGCATTCCTATAAATAAGTGAACCAGAAGATGCTAATGAATGTAAGAAATGCAGAGATGGTTTTCGATCCCTAATAGAATGTCTCAAAGGTATAGTAGCAACCATACTTTTTGATCCATTCTTAAATTCGTCAGCTTCAGTGTGCCTTGTATCCACGGTGCACTGGTGATCATATTTTACTTCAGGCAGATTTTTTTCTAATATATTCTCTTGTTCTAAGGGAGGTAAGCAGCTGCTAATACTTACTTCTCTCTCCTGAGGTGAAATTCTATTAATAGTCACAGATATGCCAGAGATTTTCACTTTTGCGGGTCTACCAGGCTTCCTAATTATTGCCAAAGACTTCTGATTCGGTCGAATAATGTTCTTGGAAGGTTGAGGTATCACAGACTTGTTCTTGATAGGTCTAACATATTCAAAGCCAGACCCCAAGGTCTCAGTTTCAGTAGTCAGACTTGAAATAGCACTTCTTCTTTCACCCGAGTCTATTTCGTATTCTCTAATATTTCTGAGACTATTATATTCTGTTGGAAAATCAGCAACGTTATTATTTAAAGACATACCATTGCTTATGTTTACACTTCCTTCAGAAACATGCCTTTTAGTTCTTCTTGACCTTCCATAAATAACAGTTACTATAATACTCTTCTTATATATACCTTCTTTTACTTCTGATAAGAGAGATTCTGGGCTTTTCTTTTCAGCACTAAAGGACTCATTTTGGCAAATGGTGATGTCCGTTGGGTCAGTTTTAGGTTTGGGTGGTCTTCCAATTGGTCGCTTAATCTGTTTCACAACCTGGGGACCTATTTTTTTAGGTCTACCTGGTTTTCTTTTAAAAGATGAACCAGTAGCACTGCTTGAATATTCCTTAGGTTCCTCTTGTGGCTTATCACGATTCATATCATCTGTAAACAGTGCAGACGATTCTGCAGTTTCTTTTGCACAATTAAATTTGTTTAGTTCTTTTTGGAGACCGTCACTATCATTAAGATAAGAACTATAATTTTCAAAGTTGGCATTTGGGATATTCTCATTCGTTTCTTTTTTTTTTTCATTTACTTGATGAGTTGGTCGTTTTTCCGAAGGAAGATAGCAATTTGATTCGGAATTGCCAACTGAAGTTAAAGTATATTTGACTCCTTCACTGCTTTTAACCTCAGATAAAAACATGAGTTTGATAGGACTAGAATAGTTGGCAAAAGAAGAGCTTTCAATGGCTTCATATTTTGTTGGTACATTTTCAACACTGGAAATCAAGCTACCTGTATTTAAAACAGATGTCTTTTTCTGGTTATCAAGTCTTTTGTTATTCAAATCTATTGTAGGTATATGATTGCTTTTAATATTGGTGGATGCCACTATGGGTTTTGATAAACTCTGCTCTTTGTACGTCATTCTACTTACAGTAAGAGTCATATTTCTACCAGCATGTTGATCTTTATCATCAATTTCTATCAATTTCTTGGATGCTTTATATCCTTCCGATAATGACTGATTATTCCAAGACTTTTTGGCCATATTTATTGTATCTTCCAAACGTTCCACAACAACTTGTAAATTAGAATTTATTGCAATTTTGTTTAAATCTATATTGTGTGAGCTTTCAATCTGAATATTTTTTACTGGATCTTTTTTTTTTGTAGAGTCACAGACTTTTTTGGCCTTAGGTGATTTTTTGAAAATATAATTATTTGTTACATATATAGAATACCACCCTGGAGGTACAATATTTCGTTTAGTTCTGCTCAAAAGTCCAGGGACATCACTTTTCAAAGGAGTTTGAATATTCTCTAATTTTGGATTCTCTTTATGATTTTGCAAAAAATTTTTTCCAGCCACAGATTTCTCCTGTGATCTTCTTATGCTCCTTTTCTCAGAAGTTGTTTTAAAGCTTTCTGAAAATGCATCAAAAGCCAAGTTAGCTTCTGAATTAAGAGGTAGTTGCAATGACTGTAATCCATAATCTGGTGAAAATGTTTCTGCATGATTATTATCTTGAAGGCTTTTAGAATTTTGTAAAGAAGGCCCTTGGCAATGATAGAATTCTTCTTTGTCCGCTGAAAATAGTTCATCGTGGCACACAAATTTCCTTGGATTTTTTTCAGTGTATTTTTTTCTTACAAAGTTTTCATCAAGACTAGCAAGTTCTCTTTTTATCTGTAAAGACTGCCTTCTAAATATGGGTGAATCAGGAGAGTTGCGCATTGCAAGTAAGGTTTCTTGACGCTTTCGAAATCTTGTCTGAATAATTTTATTTTCTACCTTTTTATCATGTTGACTCAGTAATTCCATAAAACTGTAATCACTGGCCTTTGCATTATGCAAGAGAGAGGTTATTAAATCTCTCAATTTTAAATCATTATCTCTATTACAATCACTGCTAGATAATTTTATAAGGTTTGTCATATCTATCGTTTCTATTGATTTTAACTTTTCATTGATACGATCCATTAAATCTTGAAAAATTACAGTAGTTTCACCTTTTTCTTGATTTGTAGTACAATTATTGCTGTCTTCCAAGAGCAAACAATCAGAGTTACTGGATTTTTTAGTTTTATGCATTTTACCTTCATGATCATCTTTGTCACTGCTTATTTCTGCTGGTGTCAGAGATGGAGGCTGGTTAATGTTTGTTTCAAGTCTGTTATTTTCTAAGGCTGAAAGCTCTGAGATGACATCTTTCAATTTTTCAAATCCTTCAGTCTGTACAGGTGATAATGGCGGGGGTGAGGGACTTCGAGATCTACAAACGTCTTTAAGACTTATTGAAACATCACGTATTTCCCTTGATGAAAGAGGAGTCTGAAAGGCTGATTTTGTGGAATGAATGTTTGGTAAGAGTCCAGAACAACACCTTTGAGAATTATAACTGTTTGCAATTCCTCTATTCACTACTGTCTTAATGTGTTCAACAGTTACAGTTTGGCAAGATAAACAATGTATATCTTTAATACAGACTGGCAGAGGCACAAAACCAGGGCTTTGTCTTTCATTGTGTAAATACCCTCTTTCTGCCAGCCTATATTCACAACTACAGAAGAGCCCATCTAAATCATCTTCAATAAGGGGATTTTGAGATTCTGAAGACACAGAATATGATGTATTACAACAGCAATGAGAAGCAGCATTCTGCTCTTGGACTAGAAATTTCAACATAGCCAAAACTTGTTGCTGGTGATGTATGCACAAAGATTCCAAAACCTTGCTTAATGCTGATTTTCCTTTTTCCATTTTAGTAGCTTCCTCTGATTTTGCATCAACAGTTGAACTAAAAATAAAAATCAAACAAAAAATGAATTACAGCAAAAATACTAATATCGTAAGGAATTTTAACAGAGTTTGAACAAAAGATATTTTGGTATTGCTGGACTCCTAACTCCTATGGAGAGCTGCAATAGTGACATCTTCATTACTGTTTAGCAAAAATAAAATGAAGCACTGGTGATAATTTCCTATGACAAAATATGAGTCAAAGCAAAGCCCTATGTTTTGTGATATAAAAGCTGCTGTTGATGATAGATATGATTATATTTAGAGATTGCTAATGTTTAGTGTTTTGGATATATTAAGAATATTTAACGGAAAGTGCTTCAGAAGGAGTTAAAATTTTTGTAAAGTAGACATTTTATAAATTATTTTGATGGTTATCAGTCCATATTAGTACAAATAAGAAAAATAAGATGTAGGAGAAAATCTTTCTTATCTTTATTTAAAATAGATATTTTTCAAGGTAGTGAAAATAAAATTATGAATAAAAAAGAGTTTTGCATAGTCACAATCAAGGGATTTAGATTTCATATAAATAACAGAATGTCTTTTCTAAGATTAAACTGTAGGCCTTTTAACCTAATAAGAAAATAAAAATTGAAGCTATTTAAAAATGAAATCTATTTTTAATTGATTTTAGATACTAAATTAATTACATCAAAACTAAAGGCATTACTTACCTAATTATTTAATTTCAAATGCTGGAAAATGTCCCACTGCAAAAACTAACATACATCTAATGTTAACTAAAACCCAGGATTACTTAGCAACCAACGTAGAGGTCTACAAAAGGCTTTTTAATCCAATACCAGCAGCAAGAAGAATAAAATATATTAAAAGAATTCTGTTTCAGAAAAGTATCTATTTAAATTAAACATATCACCAAACTCTGTACATGAAAATAGCCTCCCACTTGTGATTTCTTTTATTTGTTGTTGTTAGTTCCTGACTTGTAGAAATTTTATTTAGGGTTGGAGTTGAAATATGCTGATTATGAATTGCTATAGAAGATTGTATTTTGTTTAAATAAAGGGTTATTATGTTCATGAATATTAAAAATTAAAGAATTTTTCTTTTAAAATGAAGTGAGATTTATTTTAAAAATTTTCCTCCCTAAAACTGGCTTATCCTGTTTCACAGATAAGTATGCAATATTTTATCTACATTTTATAAAAATTACGTTGAGTAACAAATTTTGCAAATTAGATCAAAATTTTTCTAGAAAAAAAGTATCTTTGCTAGATTCAACCAATGTTTCACTACTACAACTAGCATGTGATTTGACATAAAGTAGCTATCAAAGAGATAAGAGATACGAAATTACAGTAAAACTTTTTAAGTCCACTGCCACCTCTAGACAGATGAAGACAGGACATGACCTCAGTATCCTTTCTTTTCTGAAAATAATTTTTTGTAAATGTTTTCATGGTTGGGAGTGTAACATAATTGAACTGAATCTGAAGATTCACTACTGGATAATTCAAGAAACCTATGTAGAGAACAGAGGCAGGAGTAAATGTTAACTATCAAATAAGAAGATATAAGTGATACTATACTCTTTCCCAGTAAATTAAAAATTATAATTTTCACATAAGCAAAAGAAAACCCCGAAAGTTCTGATAGACACATTTCCAACACGTTTCTTTAAAAGTTATGTTATGGCCTATTAAACATATCTGTGACTAAATAAAGAGATTTTACATGTCTCTCAGAAAAATACATTGCACTATATTTTAAAGATTAACATGCTTTTATAAGTTCCTGAAATGCTCAAATGATTTTTCTCTGTTAGTAAAATCTAGAGTAGAAATAATAAGAATTCATGACTAGTGTTAACTATTCTGAAAACCACTGATTTTTATAGCTCTCTTTTGACTTTCCAAGGAAGTCTATACTTATTATTTTTAATAATGGAACTTCAAAAATCTCAAAAATACCACAGTGGCCAGTAATTTCTATCTAATGCCGTATGAAGAACAGCTTTAAGAAGTTACTAATCAGATATTCAGGTATTAAGATTTTATATATATATTTATATATATATCAGATATTAGATAACTAAGTTCTCAAATTATAAAACTCCACAATATGTTATTTGCCTTCAATTTTTTTCTTTTCCATATTTCTTGTATGTTAGAATCTCAAAGAAAAACCTAATATAAAATAGTTGAATACACATAAGCCTCCAATCTAGAATTTATTCTCAATTGATTCTAAAATTGTATGTTTCACAGCTCCCTTGTTTTTCATGTTAAAATTTTTTTCTAACCTTTTCCTGTTTGATTTATATATAAAAAAATTCTTTTTTTTTGTAAGTTTCTATCCATTTTGCCATTACAAGTTTTGTTGTTGAAATAGTTGTCTTTGGAGAAAGTTAATTTCTAATATTAATATTAATAAAGCTGCTTCCTAGAGTGAATCAAAGAAGCCAGTGTAGTCAGTTTTTTCTTTGCTTTTCTTTTTTTTCCTTTTACTGAATGAGTAAATCAGTCACACACCAACAGTGTTGTAAATTTAAGTGCAAAAGCATTGAAGTGCTTTACTACAAATTACAACCTAGAAACACGTTAACTGAACAATTAAAATTCATACAATCAGATTTAGATATATAACAACACAAAGTAGAAACAGAATTACAGTACATTTACAACACAAGACAGATACATGAATTCATTAGAAAATATTGTAATAAATAATTCATGAATTATAGTGCAATTGATTTATGCATAAATATAACTAATTGCCTAACAATCAGTTTATATTAACAAAATCTGTCAAAATCAAGGCAGCCACAGAGTTTTACTAAATTACTGCGACAATGGAAATACTGCAATTAAAAAACAAATACAAGTATTTGTACTGTAAACAACTAAAAAAATCGGTCTCACTAAAGTTAGTATACAATTTAATATAAAATTGTCATTAGCTACCAGAAATGGTTTAAACAACTTTACTGAGCAGTAGTTTTCTAAAAACAGAGGCACTGTTTTTTCTTTTCCTTTTTTTTTTTTAAATATAAAATACTTGAGGAACATTCAAATAAGTAGAAAGCACATAAGGGTTGCTTTCACCTTCATTAAAAGTCTGCTGAAACTGGATTTTTCAGAAAATTGTCAGTTAATAAGTAGTAACTGGTAACTAAATTTATAAAGTACTTTGAAAGTTTAACATAAAGAACATCTTAACAGAATCATTGGGGAGAAGGGGAACCCATAAATTTCCCTGCCTTTCCTAGTTTGTATAATCAAAAGTTAACTCAACAATTAGAAACATTTTGTTTCTTTTAAAAGTTATGGGTTGATCATTACCTATAAACTATCAAAAAATATTTAATTTACTATTTCTGACCAAAAATAAATAATACAAGTACTAAAATGCTGCAAATTAACTATAATATTACCTATAAAACTACTGATCACTGTGAAGTCAATAGCAAAATGATCCCTGATTTTATGAATCCTGTAAAGTTTTTGGTCAGGTCATCTTTTAAATGATATAAAAGTGTTCTGTAAGTATCCCTTTACTATAAACTTCTCAATCAATTTATTAATGTAAATATAGTGTGAGGAATAAAAAAGCTCAATACAATATAAATATTATGTAATGCATTCAAGCCCCCAAATTCTTGCAAGTAAAATTCTGTATAAAGCGGTCAATAAAATTGTGTTGAAACATTTACTTCAACTTTGTTTTTCAATGGGGGGGGAAGGGAAATATATTAAATAATCCAAGTTCTGGCCCTCACAAAATATGGCTTAATTCTTTAAAAAGAAAGATGACCCTGACATCTGCTGTTTTGCAATCTATTATGTATACTTTCTTAGTGGGGAAAAAAAAAGCAAGAGGATTCATACCCTAGTATGCAGGTAACATTAATAGCTGAAGAGGGTTCAGTATGGATCTAAGAGACCAAATAACTACTCGGTTGTGTAGTTTCCCACTCTTCAGTTTCCTTAAAGATATGTAAGCAGTTTTTAAATGTAATAGCTGAAAATTTCTTTAGTATTACATATATATGTGATTATTAGATACACACAAACACAAGTGTAAAAACACATGTATTTGACAAGGTGCACTTATTTTTTTAATTCAGCTTTAAGTATTCCTTTTGGACTTAGGAAAACTGGCTTAGAAAAAATGATCAGAACCTGAATTTTAATATAGAAAAGGGGCACTCGAAGAATTTTGAATTTGTGAAGCAAATCCCCATTCTTTCTATGGAGGCACATGCTTTATAACATTTTACCACTAAAACTGCATACTTCATAAATCCAACATGGATACTCTGAACCACATTTTGAAACTGCTATATAAAATTACTGGTCTCTCTTATGAGTCTAGTAAAAGTTAAAATGCACTGCCCAGCTTCTAACTACCCAATTAGTAGAGAGTTTACATTACTGAAAGTTCAAAACAGCTTCAGTGTCAAATATCTGTAAATCTATTCAAGACCCTGAACAAACTGCAAATTTGGTTATTAGCAAAATGATAATGTATCGCCCACCAAAATGAAATCTGTAATTCATTTTGATAAACTGAAAATGTTTTGAAATGTCACAGCAGCAAATATATTAAAGTTACACTGAGGTTTTTCAATAGTAGGAGTGTGTCACAATCCTTAAAATTTAAAGTAGTCATAACATCAACTAACCAGCACATTTTAAACCAAAATTATCATTCTCAAGCTTTTTCTGTGCACATTATAAACATGCTCTAAGTTGCATTCCAACTTTCTTTTCTAACCTTACACATTAGCTTATTTTTCAAATGAAAAACAAAATTAAATTATTTTAATAATTAAATTTAAATTACTTTTTGTTCTTAGTATTCCATCTTACATTAAAGGACTCTATAGCTGCTGGGGTTAACTATGTGTCAGTTTTTTTTAAAGTATATACCTTATAAACCCCAACTTCCTGCTAAATCAACTATTAAATGATAAATATTAAATTTCATTATACATATCATTTAAGGTTTTCTTTTCTATTCCCGGTGGATGCACTTGAGTGCATTTCATATTTCATAGAATGCACTGTAGTGTACTAACACTGTATATATTAATTTTTATTAGTGTGGAGATAGCTGTCTGTTTAAACTTTGATTCGTTGTTTGATATACTTACAACAAATGTAAGTATGCTATGCAAAAATGTTTACAAACTATTAATATATCCATTATAAGATGGTTCAACTGAATGGCTGGAGTGGTCTTTCACCAATAAAAATGTTTCACTTGACAATTACTTGTTTTCCCACAACGCTTTATGCTATTGACTACTAAAGAAAACCTGAATCTTTTTCACCTATTTATACAAGGATTAAATACAAACTATCAGAATTAAGTAAGCAACTATATAGTTCTGTCCACAGTGAAAACCCTGAATAAAACTTTTTTTTCAAAAGGCATGTAAGTGGTTTTTGAACTGTAAAATTTCATGTCTCCTGTCAGAGTGAGCATCTGTAATTCCCACATGTGTGTATACAGACACACAAATACACACCTGTGCACATACACACACACACAAACACACATACACACACACACACGCACATACACACATTTTCCTAACAAGTAATCTACACAGGCTTGCCGCTGTTTTTGCAGCTGCCAGTCCCTGAATCTGTCATATTATATAACCCAGTGTCTGGTAATCGGAGTTTCTTCTTCGGAGGAGTCTTCAGTGTTCCAGATCTTTCTTTTACCTTGTATTCTAAAGTGCTGTGAGGTACCCCATAAATTCCTTGTGCTTTGGAAACACTCATTTTTCCGCTCATTACCATTGCAATAGCCTCTTCCATTATTTCATGATCATATTGCCGATAACGGCCACGTTTTTTCCTGGGCTGCTTATTATCTTTTCGATCCAACCCATCTTCAGTATTTTCAGAGGTTCCATCAACTGTTCCATTTTTAGAATTAAGACACAAAGGAGAGAGGTCCCCATGTAGAAAATAAGAGTCAACACTTGAGTGAGTTACGGGCCCAGAACATTCTATTTTGTTCTGTTTAGGGAGTATATTTTTCAGTTTTTGGAGAGCTGATCCTTCCAGGACTGGAGAGGTTTTGGAAACTTGATACATAACATCCAGCAGACCAGGACCATCAGGTTGTGGTTTTGAAACAGAACTTACTCGTAGCTGAGGAATTTTTAACTGTACAGTAGGATGTGTTTCATATTGTAGGCTTTCATTTTTTTCTTTAAATTGAGTAACCATTTTCTGTAGAGTTAACTGATGGAGGTAACTGGAAGCTGTTGGGAATTTTAATTCTGAGGTTTCAAGTAGATTGAGTTTACTTTTTTCTGTGCGCTCTGCTTGAGCTCTCGCCCACAAGGCTACTTTTTGCAGCACTGCACAAGTTTCTTTACTGTCTTTATATGAGTAACTATCATTGAAATCTCGAGTTTTGTTTTTAAAAGATGCAGGCTTCCCTGCTGGTAAGGCTTCTAAGTGGAGAAGTAAAGTTTTTTGAGGTATGCCATAAAGTATGCCTGCTTTATTTATGTCCAGTGCTCCAGACTGAATGTCTTTCAAAGCTTTTGAGAGCAAACCATCTGCAAACTCAGCACTTCTTTCCACATAGTCCTCTCTGTTTCTGTGTAGTCTCCTGGATGGATGGAATGAAACGATGGTAAACTGATGCATGAGAGACTCTCACACAGCTATGGAAGGGGAGGGTCCACTCCTTTATTATACTCCTTGCTTAGGTAACATCACTGCTTATGACTCTTTTAAGTCTGTGAGATGTAGTAGTTGCTCCTTATCAAAGCAAACGCTATAGTCCTGGTAGGACAATGTGTCAATCATACGGTGGCCTCAACGGGCAGACCTTCCAAGAACATAAAATCCTAACTCAGTATTTGTAAAAATATTCTCATGATGTTGCTATTCCTCTGACAGATGCTTGCAGAGCAACACTTATAATTTTTTTACAATTAGAGTTCCATTATATAAAATACCCAAATCCTAAAGGAGTTTTTGTTAGTAGAAAAGTGACGTTACCGCTAAACAAGTAATAAAAGAGTCAACCCCTTTAAAGGAGATTTGTAGCAGCAAGAATATTTCCAAACACAAATACCCCATATTTCCACAAGACTAATTTTTCTCTAGATAAAAACTTAAAATCTGAAACAAGTAGATAAAGTTATATTTGGGTAAAATACTTTTAGATTTTATACATGTTATTTCTATTTCGAATGTATCACTGTAACTTTTAAAGTTTCTTAAAGAGAAAGCTCACTATACCTCATGACTCAAAAAGCTATTACAGCCTTAGTTGAAACAGATTACACTCTACCTCTGAGATTTAAATGTTACTAAAAAGCTTCCTATGCAGTTTGTTAATGGGAAGATGCAAAAGTTACCAAAAAAAAAAAAATCCAACAGAACAGCATTTCACTATTAATTAATTAATTTAACAACAGCTTTTAAAGCATGAAAGGATTTTTTGTGGTGATTACTAGATAAAGTAGTCTGCCACCACACCTAGAACACAATGAAAAAAGTCTAAACACTGTTAAGTTAGTTGTAAGAATTAGTAAGCATAGTACTTTTAAAACTGGTTGATTGTTTTAAAAAATTAAATAGTGAAATTACATATTTTCCTTAAAATTGCCTCCTAAATATTGAATTTAAAATTCTCTTTACTCGTCCTGCTTCTTAGTTTGTATTCTATGATTAATTTGGTAGTTCATTTTAGTAACATGAACTAAAGTTTGGTGATTGTTCTGATAACTTTTCTTTAACAGAAAGAATAAAAAAGAAAGAGAAAGGACAAATGAAAGGTATGAGAGACACACACTTATGAGTGACAAAAATTCTGGAAGAAAACTATATATGTCAATCTATTCAGAGTAGTATTAAGAGTTCTCTCCATAATTTTATATTAATATTAAATTACATTTCCTAGATATTGCTTACCCAGCCATTGAATTTTCAGAAGAAGGATCACATATGGATGACTCTTCAGATTTTATGCTGGTTTTCTTTGTAGAGAGATCTAACACTCCATCCCCTATAATTTTTGCAAGAGAAAAAACTTTATATTTGTGACAGGTAATCCTTAACATTTTAACATTTCATATTTTGATGATCTACTAATTCATGACCTAAAAATTAACACTTGTATTTGACACATGGCCATCACCAACTCATCTTGTGGTTTTAGCAACAGTACATGACTGGGAAGGCACTACATAGGAAAAAAGAACAGAGAAGGAGCTGGCACTGCCAAGTGATATGAAGAAACAAAGAGACTAGATATAAAATGTTTAAAATCCACCCTTGGTCACCTTTTCCACTGTTCTGCAGTGAACAGCCATTGACTGCTCATTCAATAGAAACATGACTGCTTCCTATTCAAGGCTGCCCAGATGATGCTTTGGGAAAGTAGGAATAATGTACGTTGAACAAAACAGAAAGCATAGAAAATATGATGATGAATAAGAAAGCGATAATTAGCATTTACTAGGACTAGTAATATGTGGAACACATACTTTAGGTAATCTTTGACTCTATGTACAGCCAATCTATTTTTTAGAACTCAGCATAAAATTTTCCTGTTTTAAATAACTGAAATGTGCAACAGCTGAATCACTGCCTATGTAATGTATTGTGGTTATACCTGTGATTGGATGAAGACACAACAATATAACATTTTAGGAAAAATAAACTGTTAGAAAACAACTGCCTATGTATTTGTTACTAACATGTAGTTATTTTATTACTATTATAATATTGACTTTACATAGATGAAGCTTCAATGATTCAGATATGTTGTTAATCTGATAAACTTCAAAATCAAAAAGAATAAAAATAAAACTATGAATTTAAAACACAGCAATACATACTGGGAATATATCTCTACGGATAGCTAAAAAATTGAAAAATAAGCTACAAGAAATAATTGTAAAAAAACCCATGTTTAAAAAATATACTAAAAAATTCAACTAGGTTTAAAAATAATTTAATTATGTGCAAAGCACTGTTTTAGGAACTTGGAGACCAGCAGTAAAAAAAAAAGGTATACAAAGTACCTATCCTCACAGTGCTTGTGATCTAGTTAGATAATTCATACACCACCACCACTGGCAACAACCATATTTCAGGTTGATGATCAGTGCTACTTAGGAAAAATAAAGCAGAGTGAGCTGATAAGAGTAATGAGGGTAGGACTAAGGCAGCTGCTCTTTTATCAGGTATTATCAGTAAAGGCCTCTTGGACTTGAACAGAGTCCTGAACAAAGTGACGGTACCAACCAAGCAGATTATCTTGGGGAAAGCTTGTAAAAGGATCAGTGTGCAAAGGCTATGATATGCAATCATATCTGGAATGTTTAAGGAACAGCAAAGAGGCCAGGGTGACTAGAGTGGAGTAAGAAGACTGTGAGAGATGAAATCAGAAATCAGGCAGATCACATAGGGCCTTGTAGGCCACGGTAAGAAATTTTATTTCGAAAGACAAGAAACCACTGGAGGATTCTAAGCATAAATCTGGCACAATTTTAATTTATGTTTTTAAAGGATCAATCTGCTGTGGGGAGAATGGACTGCAAGGGGCTAAGGGGGGAACAGGGACACCTGTTGGGAAAATGCTATGCTATTTCTCACCTCTAGGCTTTCACACTTTCAATTAGTTTCCTCTGCCTAGAAGTCTCTTAATCCTCTCCTTCTTCTATCCCCACACTCATCCTAATATTCACCAAATCTTACTCATCATTCAGTCATTCATGACACAACTTGAAATTGGTTGTCATTATTCTAGGTTCCTATACTTGCAATACTTACCTAGAGTATTTAGCATTTAGCAGGCTATATTCTAGTTTCTTATCGACTTATTAGTGTTAGCCACCAGACTATAAGCTATGTGAAGGCAGAGATCATGTCTATTTTATTTACTGATGTATCCCCACTGCCTACAATAGTGGCTGGCACACAATAAGTGTTCAATAAATATTTGCTGAAAAGAACTGAGAGGAACTAGAAGGAATTCAGTTATTGCTAGAGGTTAAAATGCCTAGATTGAAAGGGTAAAAAGGGAGACTGGACAAATAAAGTACATGGTACATACTACCTTAAAAAATTATTAAATGAAGTATCTTGCCCCAGTTTATCCATCCAGCCCAATCTTAGGCTTAGTCAACAACTCATCTCAACCATCACACTTCCTGTGCATCTAAACCACTTGCAGTTCCTCAAACATCCTATGTGGTGTCAGGTCTCTCAAACTGCAGTGGCTGGTTCCCTCTGCCTAGAATGTTCCTTCCACTTTTCAACTTGCCAAACGCCTCATCTTTAAAGATCCAGATCCCCCCAAGTAGAATCTTAGTGTTTACCTTGTCAACAGCATCCTATAACACTTACGACACTCTCATGCAATTTTTGATTTACGTATCTTTTTCTTCCATGAGACTGAATTCCTCAAGGTCAGGAATCCTGACTTACTCATTTGTATTTCATAAACAAAAGTAGAGTGCTATAACCTACTAAAATAGAGAAATGAATGTTGTCTTCTCCTTTACTATCTCATTTCTCTTCTTCAGCACTTAAAATTTTACTATTTTAAGGTCTTATAAGACCATCTTCAAAAACGTCATTACTACCTAATCCATATTCTGATTTATCACTGAATTCACTCATTTTGATTCTGCTCATTTTATGTAGTTTATAGCATATAAAATACACTCTTCATAAGTGTGTTATTCCTTGTCAGTGTTACAGAATAAATTAATGAATTTCTCCAGTTCTAAATTTTAGACTTTTGATATGGTCGATTTCAGGTTAACTACTCCACAAACCATAAATAAGGAGGTGCAGAGAACTCCTTCTCTCTCTCCTTTACATTAAGTGTGAAAACTAGGCTGTAGCTCCCTAGCTAGGACAGTAAAGGTATTCTTGTCCTTTTTGGACCACTCCTTGATTGCTGGTTTGACAGCTAATTTCAGTCTCGAGGATGAGCTAGACTTAAGCCCTGCTCCATCTTTAAAAGAACTACCCAAATCAGGCTTATATTCCTGATTCTTCTTCTTTAGGAACTCTAAACAGTGGCCCAGGTGAGAAATGCTTTTATCTTTTTTCCATAACCCATTCTCCATACCTAGGCTGCCCATGTTATCTATAAAAAAATCTCACTTTTTGTTAGTGGTTTTGTCACCTATATTAAAATATTTTGCTCGTATCATGATTCCTTTTTCTATCATAAAGGCTGTGGCTCAAGACCTAGAAAAATCATAAAGAGTAACCCCTAGGTTTATCTGAAATAGAAAAAACAAAAACAGTAAGAGAAGGGGAGAAATAGCTTGGGAACTAGGATTAAGAAAAAGAAAAAATCAGAAATGGCAAAAAAGGGCATTTTCTTGCCGCTGCTGATTTGCATCTATCAGCATCACTTCTTCACAATGGAGATATCACATCATAACTAGATTGTTTTGTGTGTATACATTTTCAAAGTACTAATAATTAACTTGATGGATAAAAAGTAAGCACTTATCATGCTAAATGCTTCAGGGCAACAGAAAATAAGTAGAAGACAGAAAGAGAGACTGAAATTTATTTATTATTCACCTATTGGTAGGTACTTAGGCTGTTTTAGTTTTTCACTATTACAAACAATTCTGAAGCGAAAATCCTTCTAAATGTTTTCTTGTGTTCACGTATAAGAATTTTTCTAAGATGCACACCTAGAAGTGTAAGTGCTGGACAGAAGGGTATACATTTTGAACTTCTGTAGATATTACTAAAATTTTTTTCCATAACCTTAACAACACTTGGTGTTGTTGAGATTTTTAATTTTTGCTAATCCGATGAGAAAGAAGAGCAAGTTGCAGGAGTAAATGAACATGAATGCATTTGGTATGCATTTACGTGAATCTCTAAAGCACATAAAACTATTTTGCTTAGAGATGCATAAATAGGTATTGTCAGAGGTTGCTTTCAAGGATAAACAAAAAGATGTGATAGTTCCTCAAGAGAAAACATATTAGAAGCAAATATGATCAAATAACACATTTATTAGTTCTGGGTGACAGGAACATGATTATTACACTGCATTTTGCTGTATATAAGAAAATTTTCCAAATAATAAAAACAGATTGCTTCCATTTACTGGTTGTAGACCGAGCATTAACAACACATTTAATTATTTCTCAGCAAACACTAGTGCAAAAGATATAGGATTAAAGACAGGCTGATGTAATCTACCAACAAGGTCAGGTAACTGTCTACATGACACTACCAGATAACTTTAAAAATGGACTGGTGTTTGGAAAATTGAAACCATGACCAAATTAAGCAATTTCTTGAGTATCAACATTTTATTGGGTTAATTTTTTTGAGAATTTGCATTCCAAAACCAAGATTTGGATTTCTGTTTACAAATTATTTTCAGCTCTGTATTCTCCTGCAAATTCCTGATGAAGAATCTATTAAAAGCAGACAAGTACAACCCTCATAATACAGAACTGTCTTTCACTCCTCCAAGGACACCATTCTTTCTCATCTCTTACCTGCCTCTGTCCATTCTTCAAAGTATGCTCTGTGCTCTCTTGGCCTGGCTAACTTTAACACATCCTTCCGGATCGTCCCCTCAAAGAAGGTTTTCCTAATTTTTCCCCAGCCTTCTTTCATATTCCCATAGCACCCTTCATATTCTTCTATACTGTATTTATGATGTGTTATTATAATTTGCCTAGTTTAGCACCTGAAGCCCAATAGTACTGTGGGGATTTAGTAACTACGTTTAGAATCTATTTGCTATTTATATCTAGTTAAGTATACTTACTTAGCTGATTTTCTCACAAGACTCACTTCTAAGCAAGGGCCTGAAAGCAATAGTACCTCAATAAAGACCAATTCACTGACTCATCAATGACTTGCTCAATTCTGTCACACCAATCCTAAGCATATAGCACTGCACACAGCAGACCCTGACTGACAAAATAATCATGAAATCAATGAACTTTGTTCAGCTAGTCAGAAAATGACAGCACAGTCAAAAAGTTGATATCTATATGGGAG